ATTATACAGCATGCAGCCCTTCTGGAAGGTGTGGTTTTAGCTAGTCAGACTTCAGCAGTTACCCCAACACACTCTCTGGGGTCCCCAAGCTTTGGCTCTTGCCAATCTGCACCTAATACTTTCTGGAATTAGGTAAAAAGTACCTCCAAGGAATAATTTGCAGTGTTGGCCATGTAACACACAAAGTATGCACCACAGTACACATCCTGGGCTGCTCCTGGGCAGCCTGTGGTGGAGCCGGCAGTGAGTCAGCATTCAGCATGAGCCCACGTGGAATCTGCTCCGCACTTTGTGGCCAGTTAAGGGTGGGTGAGGAGCAGCAATGTTTACTCAGCTCTCCACCACTCCGTGTCTGCCGTTGCCTCCCTGGCGCGACCGCCTCGCACTTTTATCATCAGCATGACCACAGCACAGAGCAGGAGCCAGAACAAAGGGGAAAGCAGAGAAAACAACTGATACAAAGCCCAGGGCTTATAGCAGAGGACGTCACTTTAAAGCCTTCTTAGTAACTGAAGGCAGTGTCTCAGTTACCAAAACTGAAATACTCCTTTAAACCATGTCAGGTCTGAAATGCACCCAGTCTCAGACTCCAAGGCCATTCTGTCTTTAAATTTAAGATCAAGCAGAGGTAGGTATGGAAAATTCTTAAATCTAATATTAATAATAATAAATCTTTACATTTGATGCAGAGCCTTTCACATCAGGAGTAATGTCAAATCACTTCAGATGATACATTGTAAAGTGTAGTGACTATCATTCTGTGGGCGAACGAGGCAACCAATTTGCAAACAGCAATGTCCCATTTACAGCCATGAAATGGATGACCAATTCCATAGTTGTCATAAAGGAACCATCCTTCAAATTAAAACTGAATTGAAGAAATTTCCACAATTCTACAAGATCTTAAATTTGATGATAAATTGGGTTTTAGGCAGGACTCCAGGTCTCTCGTGTTTGCTCTGCCTGGTGATCGAATCTGACTTGATTCAATTAATCTCTGGAAGGACTTCACAAATGATCTCAGTGATTCTTTGGCTAGTGAAGGGAAAAAGAGTCCTGATCACCATTTAGTGACCACTATTCGACTGAACTATGATAATTGGTTATTATTATTGTTATTATTATGCCTTTCTACAGTTAAATAACTCATAGAGGAATAATAGCTATCAACCATTAGACATCAATGATTTTATAATCTGCTCTCCCCAGCCCTTTATTAACATTGAAACCCATTCCCAGGAGAGATGACAATCAGCACTGTAGGTTTGGGCAGAATTCCTCCTGACCGTGTATTTTGCATTTGTTATGATGCCTGTAAGCAGCAAAATGTCTCAAAGCACTGCACTGGAATATCAGACCAGCTGCAAACAGCAGAATCACTTGCTTGCAGCATTGTGTAGGAACTTGCTAAAGATTAATGGATCCCTTTTCATCCACACAGATTTACTTCAGGTAAATAAATTACTGGGTACAGATAATGGAGTGGGTGTTTCTTTGGCTCAGAAACACAGGAGACTGAGTTGTATAATGAAATGGCATTCGGATTCCTGTGTATAAATAATTTCTTGCTCTACATATTTGTGCTATTGGACCCATAAGATGCCTTTGATATCTTATTTCACACTTCAGCTCTGTCACCTACTAAACCTTTGTCAAACAAAGTGAGCACTTAATATTTTTGGATTTTATATCAGGATTTGCAGTATTGATTTAGGAATATCTGCCTCTGGAACCAGGAATTCCTGGGTGTAAACAGACAGAGGTTCTGAAATGTTACCTAGTCTCAGCCTGTTAAGACTATGTTGCCCCACAACTTGGGTAAAACTTTCAAACAGCAGTCTTAATTTTGTGTTTGCTTTCACCTGCAAAAACACACAGTCACTACACTTCACATTTGCAGAGTCCTGTCGAGTATTGGTTAGAGCAGTCGCCTCACAAGCAAGAGAATCTGGGTTCGATTCCTGGGCAGGGCGAAACCTTAGGCAAGGTTCATTAGTTCACATGCCACCGTTTATCTAGAAGTAAGCAGGAACCCGGTTATTAATTGATTGGCAGATCACTGTTCGGGGGTAATAATCCTGGACAAAGTTAACGCTTAACCTTATTTCCAGGGGTCAAACCCGTCAAGACACCCTCATCCTGTTACTTCTCAACTGTGAATCCCCACCTAAATACACAGAGTCTGGAAAATCTGCCATCTGTAACCCTGATTGTATTAATAATAATTATATTTGGTGCAGCACCTTATCACGCCATCGAAACATCTCAAAGTGCTTCACTGAATTTACTGTAAAGTGAGGTGACTGCGTATTTTGTCGACGAACGCGACAACCAATGTGTGCACAGAAAAGTCTCACAAGCAGTCATGAAGTGAGTGATTTTATCTGGATAAAATCTGGATGGCCAGGACACCAGAAGAAACTCCTTCTCTTTTTGAGCGGTGCCAAGGGAACCTTTAACAGCCACCTAAGTAGACAGACAAAACCTTGGTTTAAATGTCTCATCCAGAGCACAGCGCATTGCATTGGAGTATGTGTCGGCCTAGACTATGAGCTCAAAGTCCTGATCTTGAACCCACAATCTTCTGACTCAGAGGTGAGAGTGCGATTGACTGAATATAAGAACACAATAAAAATAATGTCATTGGTCACTGGAGACTCCGCTTTGATCTGAAGCTGGTTAGACAGCCCTGTTATGGTCTGGAGTTACATGTTCTCACATATCACATGCCCCTCACCATCGAGATTCTGAGTAAAATAAATTATCAAGCAAACGGATCAATGTCTACTGCACAGTCACACGCTGTCAATTGCAGCAATGAATATAGCATGGGTTTTATTAAGTTCTGTAATTATTCCACATGCCTTTCTTTGATTTTACCATTTACTCTCTTCTCCCCACCCCCATTAGATTTCGAGCAGTAAAATCATAAATTATAAGGCCAGTGCAACTGCCCTCATCCATCCTTTGACGTTAAACCGAGGTCCTGTCTGTGCCTGTTCAGGGGGATGTTAAAGACCCCAACGGCGCTATTTGAAAAGAGCAGAATCTCTCCCAGTTTCTCCTGGCCAACAATTCCCTCCTCCGCCCCCGAAATAAAATTCACTTGGTGGCTGTTTGTATGATATTACTGTGTGCAAATTGGCTGCCGCATTCATCTACGAAGTACACAAGTCACTGCACTTTACAAAAAAAGTCAAAGGCTTTGAGAGGTTTTGATGCAATAAGTCGCCATATATTAAATCCAAGGCTTATTATACTTATTCTCTAAGCCGGCACAGCATCAGGGCTTCAGAGCTGCAGTGGCACAAAGACTCCATCATCCCTCTTAAGGGAAAAAGACACACGTCACATTTCATCTACATCTACTTGGAATGTGCATGTGTCAAACACGCAGCAGCGTTCACTGTAAACCTCTCAAAGGTCTCAAATTCGCTCCGTTTTAGCCTCTTACCTTCAAAATTAAAATCAGTCAAAACGGTGGAGAATTCTTTCATTCAATCTCAATTTGGAAGCTTTTTTTTATTTAAAAAAATGCAGGAAATCGTTTTTCGAATTACGACTGAATTTAGAGTTTCCCTCTCATCCTCACTCTACTCTGATTTTGCCCATGTGGAAGTTTAAGACAGAATTGTCCCAGAGGCTAAGACCGGGTGGAATTTGCAACCCAAGGGAGGGGAAACAGGAGTGGGAGAGGGATCAAGGTCTGGGAAATGAACTTTGATTTTGCGCTTGCAAGCTCAGTAATTGTTAAATCTGTTTATTGTCCGCTGTGCAAACCAACCAAGCCCATATTTAAAGATTAACGAACAAGTAACAACAGGTCACCAAAATTACCAAGTGCGATGGCTTTCGAGATTAACCCTTTCTGCGCCAAATATCTCACAGTTAACTTTCCTGCCGCAAGATGTTATCGGGAACATTTATCCCCCTCTCCCTGCCAACCCCTCCCCCCCCCCCCACACACGCCCCCTCCCACCAGTGACAAACAAAATAGCAAACACAGGGAGGCCGGTGCTTTCTGACAAATGTAAAAGTCACCGCACTTGACAAAAGTTACTGTGAAGCGGTCTGAGATGTTCGTGTGTACCAGCGGGTCTGACAGTCCGGCAGCACTCGATCCACAAAGCCTATCCACACATCTCTGGCTTTGGAACTGAAGTGACTTTGTAACATTGTCTTCATCCTGACATCCCGTGTATACTTTCCCTAACTCTTTCCCCTCACCGCCACCCCCACCTCCCCCCCCACCACAGATATTATTCCTGCTTGTAACTCAAACCTTCACGGGGTATTGGAAACCACCCGCCCATTCCCATCTCCTTCCCAAACTCAGCGGACTGAGCCCACGACGTATACCCTGAACACGAAACGCATTTACAATATAAAATGACAATACAAAACTACGTTTGTATAACGCCTTTCACGTTGGGAGGATGTCCCAAGGCACTGGTGCCTTTATGTGCATTTGTAAAATTAGTGCATGTGTATTACTTTGCCTCTCAAAAAAAGTTGGGAAAGAAGTGGACACGAGATCCCAGATTTTTATCCATGAGTTTTCCCTTGCGCCTCATTATTTTCTGTCTCTTGCAATTTGACGATGTCTGATTATCTCAGGCACACGTGTATACACTTTATAGTACTTGGAACACACATTGCTCTGAGCTCCACTTTGAAGCATTAAATGGCTTTGATCCAGACTTCTGAAATCAGGACTTCCCACCCTGATTTGCTGCCCTGCCCCAGTGTTACTCATAGCTTAAACAAGCAGGAAAAAGAGGCTGCACAATCTTCAATTAACAACATTTCAAATAAAACCATGAACACCAGTCAGAACTTGCATTAACTTCACAAACAGTCTCAGTACGAACAAGCAGCCAAGCCTGGCTGTTAAAACAGGGAGCCCCATTTCAGCTCTTTATTTTAAATCATTCGTCGGCGACCCACTCAAGCTTTGAAATGTAGCTGGTTGTAAGAAATACCTTGGCGTGAAAACTCACCTACATATTTGCTCCCATCCCAAACGTAGGTGGCAGATGCAGAGGATAAGACGACGATGAAAATGTAGGCAAACGCTGCTAGTGAACGGATCGCATTCATTATATGACACCCGCTGCACTCCTCCTATTATTGATAAGCCTGCTGCCTGTGTTTACTCGAAGAGGCAGAGATAGAAATGTAACCTGAAGGTGTTAACCCCAGTGAATTTATACACGCGCTCCACCTGACTAACTCTGACACATCTGTGCAATCCCCCGCGAGTGATGTGCTGATGTGATTCACACGTCCCGAGCCAAGCCCTTCAGCTGTCAGGCAAGCTCTGCCCCATCACTCGCATCAGGTCTCTCAGTTCTTGCAAAATGATTGAAAAGCCCAGCCCACTTTTGTACCATTCCAAACATTTGGATTGTACAAAGTTTAGAAGTGAGTTGGAGCACCCCTGATGTTACAGCCACGCAAGACGAGAAAGATACCAAAGAAACCTAAATCGTATTGAATTGTATAGATCACAAGACCACAAGGTTGGTTCAAAAGAAAAAGGCCCTTCGGACCACTTGATCTCATTCTTTCAGAACACCCACCCTACCGTCTTCCCATCACAGCATCACAGTTGATCTTAAATGAATTCCTAGTGACCTGTTTCAGTCCTTAATTACCCTCTGGCTAAAGAAACACTTCTTGGTGTTTTTCCTGAAATTGCCCTTTGCAATTCTAAGCCCATGTCCTCTTATTCTAATGTCTTGGTGCATTCCAAAGTACTTGGATTACTTTGTCAACCTCACTTAAATTTTTACACACCTCTACAAAGTCCCTCCAAAACATCTTCTCAAGACTGAAGAGCTCTAGCTTATCTAATCTTTTCAAGCCAATTTGTACCATTTCCAAGGGTAAAAGATTCAGGCCAGGTGGGTGCTGCTACGAGGAAATGCTGACTAAGTATTACATGTGATAGTCACGGAGACTCATCAACTTGCCACCTATTTAAGAGCACGCAGGTGCTTTCAGGAATAGAATAATGTAACCTAGATAAGATATGCAACAACAACAACAACAAGATTACATTTGTATAGCACCTTTCACGTCGGGAGGACGTCCCAAGGCATATAGTGTATAGTTTTTCAGATCCAAGCAGGGGTCAATGGCAGAGAAGGGAGGGGAGGGGAAGGGGGTGGCCGATGGCATGGTTGAAGAGGTGGGTCTTGAAGAGGAGGCATCGGTCTCCATGCAAACCTAATAGGTGAAGGTCAGTACTAAACAGAGTAGAAGGTGGTAGGGTTGTGTGTTGAGTTGGGGGCAGCAGGTGGAATGTAGCATTTGGTGTCAGTGACCCCAGGATAGGCAATGGGGGAAGGGGAAACAAATCAGCTCAGGCTCCTGCTCACGATCCAATGAACCCCTTGATACCCCACACTTTGTTGGAAAGTGCTCATGGGTGGAACAGTGCTCAGCTGTGAAACCCTCCATGAGTCAAATGGTCTGCCACACTCGTTCCCTGAGCTCACACTCAGAGATAGTGGTTTTGTGGCTTCTATCTCCCAAGAAATAATACTCCAGCCCCACGCTCAGGAGAGGGAGAATAAAAGAAAAGGGGCATGGAAACTGGCAACTCTAAAAGCAAAGTATCCCAACAATGTCAAATCTGGCTATTGGCCAGAGAAGCACAATTCTATGTAAGCTATGTATAATTAACACAGTGATAAAATGGACTAGACACTGATTGGCTCAAACGTGCCAAGCATATTAAGCCATAAATACTTTCCTCTGGTGAGGTGGCTCCAAAGGATGTTGTGAGACCCGACTTTGGTTGTGCAACTTGTAGAATTTTCTTTGGTAATCGAGAGCTGGTCATCAACAGGGCAGGCACAGTGTCTGAGGGCTCTATGGCTATTACATCACTTGGTGTGAGCTCTACACATAGAGACGGTCCCAAGTTTAATCCCCAGGCCTGGGCTGCTTTGGCTGTTTGGGGGTAAATTGCTGCCCTCAAATTGGTTGCCACGATCACCCACAAATCACACGTTTCAGTAAAATTGTGTGAAGTGTTTTGGGGCGTCCTCCCAACATGAATGCAAGGATTTATTTATTTATTTATTCTTGTATTTTGTTATTTGTCTGGTTGTTTATAAGGCTTCAGTAGGACTGCTATGATTAGTCTCATTGTTCTGTTTCCTCTCTGTACAATTCCAGTCGGTTTTAAATTTTAAGTGAAAATAGTCTTAATTTTAAAAAATTCTTGCACTTCATAGTACACTTATAACATCACAAACCTCTCAAAGTGCTTCACAAAGGTTCAGTGAAGTGACTGTGTGTTTTGTAGGCAAACCAATTTGCTACCAATTTGCTCACACCAACGTCCCACAAACAGCAATGATGTGAGTGACCAGTTTTCTTTCTGGGGGATTGTTGGCGGGGACACCGGGAGAAGCCCCCTTCTCTTGTTTCACGTAGTGCCACAGGGTCTTTAACCTGAACAGACAGACTGTGCTTCGGTTAAACGTCTCATCTGAAGGATGGTGACTTCAACAATGCAACACTTCCCCAGCACCGCACTGGAATATCAGCTTACACTATGAATTCAAAGTAATGACACAGGGCTCACAACTGTCTGATCAAAATCTGAGAGTGCTACCCACTGAGCCCGGCTGACACCTCGTAACATGCATCAGTGGAAGCAAAAGTTTCCATGATCACACCAGTCCAAGCACCTTGAATTGGTTCGCTTACGAGCTCTGGTGCCACAGGCAATCTCTCAGTTGGTAAAGCTCTGAGGAGAGTAATTTCCCCTGACCTGATGGTGGGCGGATTAGAGTCATTGTGGTTGACATTCCATTAGTCATGCCAAACACACCCAGGCTGGAATTCAAGGTAATATTTAACTAAATATTATCCAGCGCAGCCGAGCTGTGCAGGAAAGGGAAAACATTCATTCGTGTATTTTGCATTCACTTAGTAATAATGACACTAACATTTAATATTACACCTTTCGGGTCCGGGCGATATCTCAAAAGCACTTCACAGGATATACTATAAAGTGTAATGAACGTGATAACCAATTTGCACACAGCAGAATCCAACAAACAGCCATGAAGTGAGTGACCAATTTTATAATAATGAATAATAATCCTTGCATTTGATATAGCGCCTTATCACGTCTTCGAGATGTCTCAAAGAGTTTCACAGAATATACTGTAAAGTGAATGTATATTTTGTGGGCGAAACATGGCAGCCAATTGTGCCCAGCAGTGTTCCCACAAACAGTCATGGATTAAGTGACAAAATTATTATTTTATTACATTTTTTTTGAAGGGATTATTATCCCTGGAAAAGTGAACCAATCGACTGACAACCGGGTTCCTACTTAGTGCTAGGTAAACAGAGGCGGGTGGAGTAAGGAAACTTGCCCAATGTTTCGCCCTTAGGGGATTGTTGCTCAGGACAGTGCTATCGGATCTTTAACGACCTTCTGAACAGGCAGAGGGGACCTTGGTTTAGAGTTTCATCCGAAGGATAGCCCTCCCTTCTGACAATGCAACACATTGAGAATGTTGCTAAATTCATGGCGAAATGAGTTGGTCCCAATGACCGAGCTGATGTCATCATGAGTCCATATTGTTTCCTGTTTCATCGGCACGAATAAACCGAGTGTCAGAGCAATAATAATGACCCTTGCACTTGATATAGTGCCTTATCATGTCTTCTAGTTGTCTCAAAGCATTTCACAGAACATACTGTAAAGTGAAATGACTATATATTTTGTGGACATTTTATTTTTTGTAGGGGATTATTATCCCCAGAAAAGCGATCTGCAAGAAAATGATCAGTACTTTAAATACAAAAGAAAGTATGAGTGGGTAAGGCCACTCAGCCTATCTACAAACCTCACAGTCTGATCCAAATTAAGTAATAATAGTACTTTATTACTACTCTTTATAAGCAACAACAATCCCCCAGATAACATTGGTCATTCACTTCATGGCTGTTTGTGAGATGCTGCTGCGCTTAAATTAGCTGCTGTGTTTGCGTACAAATATAGTCACAACACTTTACAGTAAAAATCCTGTGAAGCACTTTGAGACGCAGTAATAATGTGATAAGGAATTACGTCAAATGCTAGGACTATTATTATATTACAATACTTGACTTTGTTATAGAGCTTTATAACTTTGAAACATCTTGAAGCATTTTACATAGAGAGCTGCTCGGAAGTATAGTCACTGTTACATAGGCAAATGCTCATCTCCACCAGCAACGTACATTGCGGTACAGCAATGCTCAATTCATGGAGGGATGGGGGATAGTTTGGTGAGCGGGTTACAAGAACAGTAACAGTATGTTGCATTATACAGTGCCTTTCACATAGGTGTCCATCTCAAAGAGCTTAACATACAATACAATTTACATTTATATTGCCCGTTATTACAAAGCGATGGACATGGACATTGTCTATGGTCAATTGGAAACTTTTCAAAGCATTGGTTTAATGTTTGGTGACTTAGCTAGATCCTTAAGAGTCTGTGAATTTATAAACTCTCAGTAACACTGACTTGATGCTCCACTGAAATCAGCTGATTATTATCTACAGCTTCAACTATCAATTCACCCCATCAAACCAGCTTAGGGAGATATTGTAGGTTATTGGTCTTGAGCGCAGACGGTGACACACATAAACCAATTAATTTCTAATCTGTTGCAATATATGACCCATACATACTTTCATATGTCGTAATTAAGTTGCCTCTCATCGAGAGTGAAACACAAGCTGTTTGTTTTAGAGATATGAACCCTGAAATTAGAGTAGTGCCTTGAAACTGTTATCACGTGCAGTGGGGACACTTTCTCTGATGTACTTTATCAAGTAGCTTCTTCCAGGTTGTGGTCAATGTATCTGCTGGGGGGAGAGGAAGGGCGTGACTGCTATTCTGATCCAGTCATTAATGTCCCATTTTCCTGCCTGCAGAGTCTGTCACTAATTCAAGATTCGAATTCAAGATTCGAATTCAAGATCCTCATCCTCACCTACAAGGCCATTCACGGCCTTGCTCCCTCCTACCTCTCCGACCTGCTATCCCCCTACTTACCTGCCCGTACCCTCCGTTCCTCTGGCTCCGGTCTGCTCCACATCCCCCGCCCCAACCGC